AGTGCCTGGAGACACACGTGCAGGTCTGTCAGAGGCCTGTCCCAGAGATGGGGGCCACTGTTCCCACACTGCCCCCTGGTATCGGCTCTGTGGTCTTAGCTGACCCCCTGTGGGAAGCTGAGGGAAGGGCACTGGGGGTGCTGGGAAGACCGTCCCAGGTGGGGGTCTTCCCGGGGCCGGGTCTCCCTGCAGGAGCCTGGGGTTGGCTTGAGCACGTCTGGGTGGGGCTGCCCAAACCTGCTCCAGCTCCTGGCAGATGCGTCTCTGGGGCGACTTGCCTGGCTCTGAAGCGCTCCCTTGCTACAGTTTGCTGTGTTGTGAGGCGCACGCGCCACAGCAGCCTCAACGAGCCGCGCTGGCGGATGTGGCCTGCTTGGAAGCAGGCCTGGCACTCCCAGGCCGAGGAGGGTGGGCAGTGGCTCTGGGAGTGAGGGCGTCTCGTGCTGCCGGTGTGCGTGTGCTGTTCTTCGTGAGCGCGGTGCATGTTTTGTTTCTGTGCCCTTTTCCCGTTTTTCTTTTAGACTTTGTCTTTTTTGTATTATTTATATAGTACAGTACTGGGGATTGAACATATGATATTCACAGGGAGCTCCATCCCCACTCTTTTTAAAAGATTTTATTTTGATACAAGTTATCACTAAGTCACTGTTGCCAGGCTGGATTCAAACTCGGGATCCTCCTGCCTTAGCCTTGCAGAGTGCTGGATTATAGGTGTGCGCCACCATGTCTGGTTTAGTGTTTTTCCTGTTGCTTTGAAAGAGGCATTTGCGTGTTATCTGCTAAGGATTATCTTTGATAGCTCATTTTGAATTGCTCACATGATTTCTTTTTTTTTACCTAAAAGGTTTTAAATTTTTTGGTTAGTTAAGAAAACTTAAGTGTGTTTCTGTTTCATGTTGCTTTTTTGTTGCTCACGAATTAACCTGTGGGACCTTCTGGCGTGAGTGGGCGGTTCCCGCTATCCCAGAGGGCAGCCCTGGAGCTGGCTGTATGTCACCCTCGGCCTGGCTTGGGTTTCAGGGAGCCAGTGTCCTGCTGGTCCCTGTGACGGACGCGCTCCTCCCATCGGCTCCACGTGGCCATTCCCATCCACCCTGTGACAGCCCTCAAACGCTGGGCTCCGCATGGCTGGGTCCACCTTTGCCTTGCGGCGCGCAGGCTGTGGTGGCAGCAATCGCCCCAGATGCATCTGCAAAGGCAGGGAGCGGGCTGTGTTCTCCCAGTGCGCTGCCTGCCCACGCTGGCCGTCCCAGCTGTGCTCAGTGTCTGGGTGCCTGGCATGTTGGCCGAGGGGACGGGTCCCCCTAGAGCACCCCATACTGCTGGGCTGTGGTCCAGCTTCCTGGGATGCACTGCTGGGTCGCCGATAGCCGGCAGCTCGAACACTGAAGGCGTGGTTCCTGGTGGCCGGCGCTATGGGAGGTGGTGACTGCTTGAGGGGCCTGGCTGGGGGTGGGCCTCGAAGAGGAGTGGGGGCCCTGGCCCTCCTCTCTCCCTTTGCTTCTGTGTGGCGCTCCTCCTCACCAAGACCCGGAGCCAGGGGCCAGGTCCACGTGCGAGCCTGGAGCAGCACTTCCTCTCAGCTCGCTCCCTCAGGGCTTTCACAGCACCGAGCTCAGCACCGCACTAGGTGATGTCAGGGCCTGCCTGTGGGTTGCAGTGGAGGGCACCAAGGTGGCTTGCTGCCAGTGGGGTCAGTGGCTCACGTGGTCTCCATTGTGACCCCAAGGAATGGGCTGCTGTGCTGCCACCACAGGCTGGGCCTGCCCCAGACCCAGCCTTCCTATTCTACTCCAGTACTGGTTCTCTGGACAGCAGGCTGGGCCGACCACCCTGGCGTGTGCTGGCCTGTCCCTTCTGGCGTCACTGGGGCTGCCATGGTGATACCCTGGACCTGGCATTCAGGGCGGGGTCTGGTCCATCTGCTGTACCTGGTGCCGCCGGCTAAAGTGCCCCACTGCCCCAGGACATGCCCTGTGCTGAGACAGCAACCGCTGCTGAGCCCCAGGCCCTGCTGCCGTGTCCCACCGCTCGACATCCCAACAAAGACAGCACTGTGTGGAGGGAGCGGCTGGAGGCACATCCCGAAGTGGGGCCGCAGCCCTCTCTGCCCTCGATGGTGGCCCTGGGCGGTGTTAAGCTGTGGGAGTCAGTGTTGTGGCTCTGGTCCTGTCCCGTCCTGTCCTGTCCTGCCCTGCCGTGAGAGTAGCGTAGCTCGGCAAGACCTCTGCCTTGCTCTCCACAGGACTTGGCTGCTGCTTCTTCCCCTTCATGTGTGGGTTCTCTCCTGTGCAGGCTGGGAAAGTCTTCGGCCCTGCGACCAGGCAGTGTCTGTCCAGACACATTCTGAGAGAGCAGTCCAGGCGGCAGCCACCTGACCTCTGGGCCTGGGGCTTGGCCTCAAGGCTGCCCTGCTCCAGAGCCGCCCCCAGAGCACACACTGTTCCCTACCTGTCCCCATCCTCAGCCCTGAGCCTAGATCTGAACAGGGGCACCAGTGGGCTCATCTCCCCAGAACTCCCTGTCCAGAGCCCAGGAGGACTCTACAGAGGCGACATGGTCTCTGTATCGATGTCATAAGCCTACACATTGCACAGGAAGTGCACCCCACCCATTGGCTCAAGGACACCAGGCTCTGGGGGCCCATTAAACAGCGAGGACCCAGTAATCTGCTCTGCATCCCAACCCCGGCCCCGGCCCCGGCCCCATGTCCTGCGTCCTGCATCTGCACAGGAACTGGCGTGGCCCACGTTCCCCCAGCCACACCGTCTGAGCAATAGCTGAGCCATGGCTGTCCTGAGATGGAGATCTCCACTGGCACTGCCTGGGCCTCTGGGGCTGGCCCACCTGGCCTACATCCATGGTGACCCCAGAGGACACAGCGCAGCCACTTCTGGTGAATGAGGGCAGGCCTGGCTGGTTACCAGGACGCGAGGAGGTGGCCCTGCCCACCTCATGGTGTTGGGCAGATGCTCCTGGTGGGCCCCGGGAGACCTGCGTCCTACATGTGGGGCTGAGTGCATTCTTAGCACTTTCTGAGTATGATGTGCCTGGGTCAGGGTTCACCTTGGCAGTTCAGCCTCCAATCCTGTCTCCCAGACTCTTGTAGCCAAGGGTTCCAGGGTCCCCGTGACACGTGAGCTGGCCCAGCCTGTACTGCTTTCCTGCAAGGCCGGTGGCCACTGTGGGTCCTCATGTCAGGGGCCCAGCTGTCACCCTGTCTGGATGTCCTGTCCTTGCCATTCTTCGTGGCTCTGGGTAGGGTGCTGGTCTTGCAGAGCCCCGCTTTCTCATACAGAAAGTTCAGTGGGTTCCTGACTGAAATGCACCCGTTGCCCCTGATGTCTCCAGGCGAGTCACATAGGCTTGCACAGAAGCCCTCTGCCTCCTGAGTGACCACCAGTGATGGTGACACGCGGGTGCGGGCGCCTGTGGAGGCCCAGTGTGATGCATCATTGCCAGGGTGGCTGGATCTGGTGGTGCAGGCTGCCTGACAGCAGCACAGGTCTGTTGCAGAAGCAGCCAGAGAGCATGGGGTCACGGGGCTGGTCCCTTGGAGGTCTCCCTGGACTTGCTGATGGCATCCTCTGTGTGTGTCTGGCCTCATTTTTTATAAGGACCCTGAAGCCCTCATTTTACCTTAGCTCTGTGACACTGTCTACAGACACGGTCACACTCACAGGCCCTTGGCCTCTGCACTGGGACGGTCCAGCCTCTTCCAGTGGGATGTGCAGTACACACAGGGCCAGGTAATGTCACGGCCATCTGGACCAAGCGCCGAGCCAGAGATGACAGGTGGTGCCCCGGGCAGGAGAAGGCATGGGCAGGCCGCAGCACCACACTTCACCCTTGGTGCCGGCATCCTCCATGTCCCTGGGTCCCTGCACCAGGGAAGGGTGCGGGTGCTGGCAGCCTTGCCCTGCAACTGGAAGGACACTGGCTCTGCCCCGCAGCTGACGTACCTCGACCTTCCCTCATTGTTCCCGGATGGCTCTGCAGCCGCCTGCCCGGGTCTCCCAGGCCATGCTATGTGGCTGTGGCTTCTGCTGAGTGGTGACCAGGCCCTTGATATCCAGAGCACCAGTGGCCTGCTCTGTAGCCTAGGTGGCAGCACAGTGAGAAGTAGTGGTAGGGCCTGGGACCAGGCAGGGAAGGTGGCCTTGGAACAAGGAGCACTCACACACCGAGCACAAGACAGTGCCTCCGCTCCCACGCTGCCCTGGGTGACCAGACGGCAACACGCATGTAGAAAGCCTGGTCATGGAGTAGCTGCAGCATTGCTGCTGTCCTGGTGAAGTAGGGGTGGGCAACCGGCCTGGCCACAGAGGGGATACGGCAGCAGGATGAAGGCTGGGTGCTCTAGGTCTCCAGGCACCAGCCTGACCAGGAGGCACAAGGACGGTGCGGGTGGCCAGCACAGGAGCCCCACCCCGGTGTCCTCGTCTGTCTTTACTGGGGTAAGCGTAGTAGCCGTGCTTTCCTGGATGTAGTCCTGTGGTCCTGGGCAGTGGCCCTGAGCGGAGCCAGCAGCAAGCAGATGCGTGGACAGGGCTGCTGTCCTGTGTGTCTGCGGACTTCTGCCCAGTTCATGTCCCCTGTATAGGTGGAGGCTCCTCTGGGCCCTGTAGTCACCTGCACTTGGTCCCTGGTTGAGGCGGGCAGGGGCCCCCCTCAGTGGTAACACTGCCTAGCTTTCCTGGCAGCCAGTGGTGAGGGGCCAGGCCAGCACCTGAGAGGGGTGCTGGTGCCTGGAGAGCCTTGGCATTGTGCTAGCACATGCTGTGTGTGTCACAGGGCTGCACGGAGCCCGAGGGGTCGGAGTCCAGAGCTGACTGTCCCCATGCCACAGCTGACTGCTTTGAGTTGCCGCAGCTGGGCTGCTGCCGGCACAGTGGGAATCTGCTCTGTCCCAGCCTCAGGCACTGTGAGGCAGGGCTGGGGGCTCGGGGCCAAAGCCCCGCTGGGCACTCAGGGCCCAACCACATGTTTTTTCTCCTCAGGTGCTGAGGTCAAGGCCATTTTGCCCAAGAAGGAGAAACTCAGGCAGCGGCGGGAGCGATGGCTGCAGAGTAAGTTTGCGCCTTCGCCCTCCAGAGCAGCTCTGTCAGCTGCTTGCTCTTGCACTTGGATGCATGCCAGGGCTCCCACGCAGGAGCCCAAAGCAGATACCCGAGGGGTCACCTGGCCCCCAGGGAGGCAGCTGCAAGGCTCTGGCGACAGCGGCCCCTGCTGTATGCGAGCACCTGCGGGGCCCACGTTTCCTGCTCTCTAGAAAACTGTCTGTGGAGGCTACCGCTCTTGACCCCTTGTTTGTTAAAGTCCATGTCGGTCCCTGTGATGAATGTTTTAATTTCAGAAGCTGCATGTGCTGTGTCCTCCCCTTTGCCCGCTGCTCTGGGCGCAAGCAAGTCCCTCTGTTCCCGCCTGGCCCAGGGCATGCCTGCCCCAGGCGGCCAGCCAGTCCCCGGCAGGCCAAGGGCCTCTCCTCTCACTCTGCTCGGAATGTGTAGTTATTTTTCATGACGCTAATGAGCTGCTGAAGTTCTCCTAAAAATATTCTTGTCTTTGCACAAAGATCACAAAAAAGATTGTTTTGTAATATTTTCATAGTTATCTCTTTATTGTGATTCTGCTGACTTTGTAAACTTTATTTGAAATGTTTCCTTCTTTACATCTCACATCTTGAAATGTTGTTTACATTATCTTTTCTTGAGGGTTTTAAAGAAATTGTGTTTTTTGAAGGTAATCGTTAGTGAAGCTTGCCAGTTTATTCCCGGAATACTAATTTTATGTCTTTGCCACTTTTTCAGTGTTGCTTCAATGGTTCATGCCTTCATTTTCTCTTTCTTAATTCCCAGGATAAAATCACGAGAGGTGTTCTTGGTAAGCTAGCTCTGGAAGTGTTCATAGACCATGGCTATGCCCACTCAACATTTCTGGGATTTACTCTTTGAGATGAGTAATTTTCATTTCTGGTGCTTGGTCTTTTTATTAATTCCTTGACTCGCTCTTTGCCACTCATATTTTCCTGAAGTAATCAGATGTCGGTCTTTATTAGCAAAAGGCTATATGTTGGTTTCTCATTATTAAATATCTTTCATGTTCTCATTGTCATTCTTTACTCTGCCTCATTTCTGATTAAATTAGATGGGAAGCTTTATCTCCCTGTCCAGAAATTCCTGAATTTAGTTATCAGCTCTGCTCTTTTGTTTTCTGAATTATTTGTTTCTGCTCAGAATTTCTTCAGGGTCGCCTGAGCGGCTCACCCCGCTGCTGCTGTGTGCTCTTCAGGAACACAAGGCTGTAAGTGGGCCTTTAAAGACAGCAGTAGCCACACCTCCCACATTGTTTTCCCTTCATAGCTTGTGGTCCAAAATGGCCTTCAGAAAAGTGAGGAGCATCGTTTACCGAGTGCCCTCACACCAGCTCCGTGGGTTTTACAGCTGATGCGCTGCTTCTCATTTTACAACCACCCGTGTCCATCCCTCTCTGTCCACCCCGCGACACTTCCCATATTCCAAAGCCCGCTGCAGACATCATCACACTTGCCCCCAGGTAACTCCGGTGGGGTTCGTTTTGTTGGTGGACCCTTTTTCCTTCTTTTTCTCTGGAGACTGTTTGTGTGCAGTGGTGGGGATTTCAGGCGGTTGTGTGTAGCTGTGCAGCTGAAGTCCTTTTCAAGGTGTTGGCTTCCTCACCACCCAGAGGTGGCTCCCTCGGCTGTGTTGGTTCACAGCTCTGCCCCGTGAGCCGCGTTTGTGGAGGCACTGTCTTGCCTGCCTGCCTGCCTGCAGTCCACCCACCTGTCCGTCCATCTGTCTGTCTGCAGGCAGCACGAGTGGGGGCTGAGCCTTTTGGAGCGGCTTGTGTGTGCACCCTCACGGCCCAGTCTCCTGTGAGGTGCCTGGCTGTGCCGTGTTTGGCTGGATGGGTAAGGCTGCATGAACATTTGAGTCTTCGTGGCCGTGTTTTCGTTTCTCTTATGTAAATACTTAGGAATGGAACGCTGGGTCATAGGGTAGGTGCATGTTTAGTTTCATGAGCGACTGCCAGACGTCTTCCAACCAAGTCATGCCTCTGTGCCCCCACCGGCAGCGTGGGAGAGTTCTGGTGGCCGAAGCCTCTCCCACGCGTGCACTGTCTCTCGCCTGGCCTGGCGATGGCACTGGCTTTTCTGGGGCCGGCTGGCATCACAGGGAGGGGTACTGTCCAGAGCTGCTGCCGCCTGTGCTTCCTCTGCAGGAAGTCCCTTTCCTAAGCTCTTCGCCTTTTATCACTGAGGTTCTCAAAACCCTCTCTGTGTCCTGGACTCCAGTCCTTGGGCAGCTGTGTGTTTTGCAAATATTTCCTCACTGCCTGTGATTGGCCTGTTAATTTTCTTAAATTTTTCTATGTCAGGAGTTTAATTTTGAGAAGTCTGGTTATGGTATATATATTTGATTTAAGAGAACTTTGCCTAATTCTCCGTCATGAAGATGTTTTCCCCGTGTTCTTGCGAAACCCTTAGGGACCTGCTTTATGTCCAGGCTGTGCTCCCTCCTGAGTTGATGCCTGTGGGCCATGGTCAGGTCTTTTGCGTCCTACAGTAGGCTTGCAGCTGCTCTGCCACCAGGTGTCCAGGGACCTCCTTCCTCGCTGGATGCCTTGTACTTGGGGTGGCTCCGGCCCGTGTGGAGACTCAGCCTAGCCACCCTGTCCTGTCGACAGTGTCAGCAGGTCCCCAATCCTTGGCTTCTGTGTGGAATCATGCCATTCGTTCGTCACTGTTCCGGAGCACAGCAGCAGCCTCGTGGGCTACAGGTTGCCCTTAGTCCTGGCCCAGTTCTGGGAGCGTTGTCGCCGCACAGTACTGCGTCTTCAGGCCCACTGGCATTGTGCAGTTCTCCTTGTAGAGGCTTCCCTTTCCATTTTTCTTTTGCTTTTGCTTTCCTGTGTATGTGTGTTTGGTTTGGTTTGGTTTGGACAAACTCACTGCTATATACTTTACAATTTCTGCTGCTACTGTCAATGGAATTTTTCCTCCTTTTAGTCTATAAAAGTCAATTTGATTTTCTTTTTTTTTCTTGCAGTAATTTCGTGTGTTGTGAGTTTGCTGCAATCTTGCAGCAGCCCAGCAAGCCCTGTGGGTTCTGTAGCATGTTCAGGAGTGTGTATATCTGTGCTGTGTTTCTCAGTTGGCTGTGTTCCTTGTATATTGGAACCACCCGTGCCAGTGCCATGGTTTTGCCCTCATCCCCTTGGTCATGCCAGCTCATGCCTGCCCTCTTGCTGCCTGCCTCCCAGTGTGCTGGGCAGGTGGTGCCGGAGCACAGTGGCTGTGGACATTTGCCCGGAATCTGCCACCTTTCTCTACCCTGGGTCAGACACCGCCCTCCTTTGGCGCTGCCTTCCTTATTCCGGGGTCTGCAGTCCCTGTCCTGTCTGCCTCCTAAATCCTCCCACCTGCCTGCCCTCCTGGATCCTGGCTCTCCAGGGGGAATGGCTGTGCCTGGCAGCACCTAGGGCACCAAATTGTCACCTTGCAAATCTCGGTAATCCCAGAGTGGGGGCGCGGGCCTTGTCAGGGGAGCCCAAGCGCAGTCAGACTATATACATCCAGGAGCACACTGGGACCCTTTTCCCCATCAGCTTTGACTTGGCTGCTGTGGTGACGAGCACATCTGGAGACCATGCCCTCCTGTGCAGAGCTGTAGGCCCTTGCCCATGCCGCCCCTCCATGCCTGTGGCCCTGACCCCTCTCCTGGCACAGGGCTTGCCCTGCCTACCCTCATGTTGGTGCTGAGCAACCGGTGTCTTTCCTGCCACCAGGCCTCCCTGCAGTGAGCGCCATGCTGGTCTCGATTCTCTGGGGCAGAGGGCGTTGGCAGTGCGGCCGGAAGCACAGGCTGTGCCAGCACATCTCTGCTGAAGGAGCAGCCCCAGCCTCGGCTCCAAGCTGTGCTCAGCCTGTAATTAAAAAGTCTACTCTGTGATTATGGGGAAAAAATAGCTCGGAGCCACTGACCCTGAGGTCTCCAGGGTGGGGTATGAGTGACGGACAGTAGGAAGCGTGCAGATGATGGACATCTATTGCCCTCTCTGACCCTATCCCCTCTGCCCCAGAAATCGAAGCCATCAAGCTGGCCGAGCAGAAGCGCAAGGAGGAGCGGAAACGCCGGGCTATGGTAGTGGTGGGTGACCTGCACCCCCTGAGGGACGCCCTGCCCGAACTGGAAGAGCTGGAGGCCTACTGCCCACCGCCGCCCAGGGGGTGAGTGTCCCATGGGCCGGCTTACAGGGAGCAAGAGGCCTGTGAGCTCAGCCATACCTGAAATGAGATCCTTGTACGAGGCGGGGAGCACTGTGGCTGTTGGCCAGGGCTTGGGAGCACCCAGGCCACGCCTTGAGACCCCAGCCCTGCTGACCTGAACTCTGCCACCCTTCCATCAGCCATGGCTCCCAGTCTGACTGCAGTCCATGGCCCCTGAGCGTGTGCCCCGTCCCAGCTTCAGGGCCTTTGCATGTGCCTCTGCCCTGCTCCTCCTGAGGAAGGTGGTAGCTCAGGCCTGGTCCTAAGGTGGGTGGTCGCCTGCTCATGCTGGCCGTGCTTCTCCCTGGAGCCTAGAGGCCTGGGTGGACCCGAGCTTGTCCTCATCAAGCTTTGGGGATGAGATGGGGACCTCAGCTTTGGGGAGCAGTTGACAGCATTGGGGCTTTGTATTCTGTCACAGCAGCAGGACTTCCGTCTTTATCTCCCGCATTTCTAATTCTGCTGTCTTAAAAAGCATTCTTTTCTACTGCTGAATTTCCTTCCAAGGGGAAGCAGGGGCATGTACTGTCTCTGAGCCTGAAGGTCCCGGAGGCTTCCCGCCGTGGAGGCACCAGCACACTCAGCGCAGACAGGGGCTCCCACCAGGGTGGGGCAGGGCGAGACTGCGGGACAGGGCTGCCCCGCAGATTCCACGCCTGGTTCTTGAGCAAAAATGCGACCTGGTCAAAGGTCCTTCCCCTCTTCTCAGTTTTCTCATCTGAAAAATGTGCTGGGCTCCTGGAAGGGAGGGCTGTATAAACAGCTGCCCGCCAGCCCTAGGAAAAATGTGCTGGGCCTCCAGGGCTGCAGGCCAGGGGCTGTCAGGGTCACCGTGCTCCTCATCACTGCCCCTCGCCGGGGCTCACGTGGTAGCGCTGTGTGCACCGGGCCCTCACAAGGCAGGGTCGTGTGGGACCAGTCTGGCTTCCTCGCCTCACCTCGCCGGCTCTCCATGGTTTCCCTTGGTGAGGGAGGTTCCCGTCCGTACAGGTCACACTGAGGTGACAACACGTGCTACCCGACAGCTCAGCTTCCAGTGTCCGGCCCCTGTGGCCCAGCAGTGTCCCCGCTCCAGAGCAGTGCAGTGCTGGGGATCCTGGCACGGGGTTGCCTCCCACGGGCAAATGGACCCCCCCAGGTTAGGAAGCATGGTGATAACTCCAGCAGGCCCAAGGGTGTGGCCGGCCACTTGCTGGTTCCCTGAGGCTCAGAGCAGCCCTAGCTGCGCCCCAGCCCAGCCCAGCCCACATTGCTGTCGTGTGGCCGAGGGCCCGGGGCCCTGTGGCACCAGCCGTGTTTGCTTTGGGTGCGTCAGGCAGGAGCGAGCGGGAAGGTGAGGGGCATGAGGCCTCCTCTGGGAAGGCCACTGTCCTAGAGGCTGGGCAGGAAGCGCCAGCGCCCAACAGTCCTTCCCCGGGGGCAGCACCTTAGGCACTATTTTGGGAAGACAGAAAATGTCTTCCATTCATATTTTAGAGGAAACATGAATAAGAAATCAGGCCCCCTGGTCAGCATGCTAAATTTAGGTGCTTCCCAAAACTTGGGCCCTTTTCTACCTTTCCTCCAGGCCACCCCCATGCCAGGTGGCATGTGGCACTATCATTGGCTTCTTGTCAGGTGCACAGCTCCCTGGGAAGGAAGCTTGGTGGCTGTTCCGCTGCCCAGTCCTTGCTGACCCCCAGGCCGAGGGCGTGGGGCAGGTCCCTGTGGAGTTGCAGGAGCTCTGCAGTGTGCACGGGGCACCCCTTGTGAGCCCTGAATCAGGCTCAGGCAGATGTGGACGTCTGGTCCGGGGCCACCCCACCTGGGGCTCCTCAGCGCACACACGTGTCCTCAGCACATGGGGACTGTGTCTCGGTCTCACGGTCACAGCAGGTCGCGCTCCCTCAGGACAGGGGCAGCGTCTGCTCGTAGGCCTGGCAGGCACGGGCTTGTCTGCTGGCTCTGCTTAGCTTGGCCCAGGCGTGGAAGGCTCGGTGCATGAGTCGGGGGGGGCCAGGCCCTGTCACTCGGGCCGTGGGCATCCGCTCAGACATGGTGGCTGGAAAAGCAGCGGTGGCGGCTGTCTGTACAGTTGCCCAGCAGCTGCAGCCAGCACGAGACCCACGCCTTCCTCACCTGGGCGCTCTGGCTGCTGAGGCCCAGGAGGCCTCGCGTGGGCAGGATTGGTGACAGGACTCTCTGTGTTCACAGCAGGGTAAGCAGTGAACCCCAACCAGCCCAGTTCAGCCAGATGAGCGCAGCCCAGAGACAGCGGCTCCTGTGAGTATGGCTCCTTGGGCGCCCGCTGCCAGGTGCACCCATGGGGCAGCACTTCCTGCAGTCACTGTCAGCATCTGCCATGTTTGAGGATTTTCACTAGGTTTCTTGGGGAGTGGGGTGTTGGGGAGCCATCGGGAGGAGCAGGTGACAGTCCCCAGCAGGGCCTTGGCAGCCCGGGCCATGTGAGCCATCCGCAGGACAACCCAGAGCCCAGACCACCGTGGTCTGGATGTGCCTGTGGTCGCCGGCGGCTCAGCCACTGTGTGTTAGAGCCACCACCCAGGTCCTGTCCGCAGGTTACACTCCAGGCTCCCATGGTCCCCTGGAGCACCAGCCTGAGGGTTCATGCAGCCTTTGGGCTGCAGGGTGCTCCTGGGGGTGACCTGGTTGGGTTAGAGCAGGCAGCAGGGGCAGGGGTGGTTACCTGTCACGTGGCACAAGCCCTGAGCCCCTATGCAAGAGCCTGTCCTGCCCCCTGCTCAGGCGCTTGTGCGTGGCTATTTTGGGCTTGCCAGGGAGCAGGCGCCTCTTATGTAAGGGCCCACAAGTCTGCAGAGTGGGCAAACTGCCACACTGCCATCTCTGCTCAGCAGGGTGAGCCCTCCATGGACCCTGGGCAAGCAAGTAGCCCACAGAACAGCACCCCCCCAGGTCCCCAGGCACTAGACACTGTTTGGGTGGTGACGCCAGGCTCTGCTATCCATTGCTGTGTCCGGGGCCTGCGTGTGGGGTGGCTGGTTCTCCATGCCCTAGGTGACGGGCTCTTTTCTTGGCCCTTGCTGCAGGCTGGGTATTTCACTGCCACCTGCTGACCTGACCTGTGGTGTATCTTCTTTCAGTGAGGAAGAAAGGACCCGGTTTCGGGAACTGCTGGCCAGCCCAGCCTACAGAGCCAGCCCCCTGCTGGCCATTGGACAGCAGCTGGCCCTCCAGATGCAGCTGGAAGGCGCTGACCAGCTGTGACCAGAGCGGAGTCCCGCATGCTGTGAGCATACCCTGGGCAGAGGTGCAGGGAGGCTGCACCCTTAGTGATGGCCTCCCAGCAGGGCCTTCAACTTGCTGGAGTGGAGAGCAGCTGCTGTGTGGTCAGTGAAGCTTTCATGACTTCTCTGCTGCCGCCCAGGTCCCCTGCATCTTGGGGCAGGGCCCGGCACAGCTGGGATGGTGGGTTGGCAGGGCCACACGTGTCCCACGGGGCGCTCAGGCCTGGCCTCCCCACATCGGAGAGCAAGTGCAGGCTCCCAGCTTTGCCTGCAGAAGGAATCTGAGAGCACAGAGGCCTGGGCGGACCACTTGGCTGAGCACCTTACAGACTCCTGCAGTAGCCCTTGGGACTCACCTGGCACCCATGTGCTGCCCCTGGCTCACCAAGGGTGCAGAGGTCACACCTGTCCCCCTGCTGTCCCCTCATCTACCCCACCTCATCAGGGCTGCAGTTTCCTCATGGCCCTTGTGGGCTGCTCAGTCGGGCCGCTCACCACCTTGTGGGGGCCGCTTGCCCAGCCCGCAGGAGAGTAGCTTCACGCTCGTAATCAGCTCAGGGTGTGAGAGGGAGGGTCGTGTCCCTGCTGCAGGTTCTGCACTCTCTCGGCTGCTCCTACCCCTGCTGTGCAGGACCTGCTGCCCCCTGCCTGCAGGGACCCAGGCGAAGGCAGTGGTGGGGCCTGAGAGGCTCAGGACTCACACAGGTCTGCGAGGGCAGGCACCAGCACCTGCTGCCCTCCTGCTGCTGTCTCCATGTCCCCAGCCTCGTGCCCTGGCCAGCATGCCCAGGCTGCTCCCGCAGCAGGATCCACAGCTTGGCAGTGTCGCCGAGGCCACAGTTGGAGCGCACATCCCGGGCCCCCTTTCCTGGGAGAGCAGCGAGACTCTGCAGACGCTGCATGGACACCCTGGAGGCAGCTGGCACTGAAGAGGGACAAATGGGGGCATGGCACCAATCCCAAGTCTGCTGGATCCAGCCGAGACCACATGCCCGGCCCTGTCCTGCTGCCGCCCGCCATGACAGCAGGTTCCCAGCGGAGGGAGCAGCCTAAAGGAGGTGTTGGTGACACCTCTTTCTACAGGAAGCACAGGACAGGGCCTTGCATGCACAGCCTGGCCGGTGGCTCTGTCCTCAGGCTGCGCTGCTTCGTGTGTGCGGCTGTGTGAGCCATCCCTGGCTACCTACTCTGCCAGTGACACGTGAGCTGTGCCTCGCTGCTGGTCTTAGGTGACCTGGGCCCACCTGGCTGGCATAGCCTTTGCCTACCATCCTTCCCTTCCTGAGCACCGGGTCCTTCCCTTCAAGGCTTGAGCTGAGGTATGACAGTTCAGGAGGGGCCAACAGACATGGTCCCTTGCCCAGGTCCCTTGACTCCTGTCATCCCAGTAGCCACGGACGTGGGGGCTGCCCTGGCCCCTGATGCACTTGCCTGCTGAGGTGTCCATGGGACCAGGCACCCCGTGTTCCCAAGACAAAGCACACGAGTCCTCCCATGTGTGGCTGATCCCCGAAGCAGCCAGCGTTGGGTGGATGCCGAGGAACTTCGCTCTTCGCCTGTGTTTTCTGTCTTTGTAGAATGAACATGAATTGCTTTGTAATAAACCTAAGTGGAAAAGTTATGCAGTTGAGTGGCTTTTACAATTTTAAACCCTGGAGTCTTCAGTCCATTTTCTGATTTCAAGGGTAAACAGCAGATAAAAGCCTCCTGGGGCCCTGCACAGGCCAGCCTGCCCTGGGCATGTCAGTGTCCCTGCATGCTGGGGCAAGTGCGGTGGGAGGGCAGGCGGGAGGAAGGCCGGCCACTGGGCCCCGCCCGCGAGGGTGGTGGCCTCCACACAGCCCCTCGCTGCTGTACCTCTTGGACCCTGGGGCAGCCACCACCACCCTGCTCCCGGCCGTGATTTCCGCCTCAGCGCAGGACCAGGGCAGCTTGGAACAGGAGCCAGAGCAAGCCTGTCCTCTTAATTTGCTTGGGCATTCATCACCGGTGTGGGAAGCTGATGTAACAGACACCCCCAAATGACCACAGGTGCCAGCACTGGAGTGAAGGGCCCCTCCCCACCCCCTGCCAGTGCCCCCAAGCTGGGCTGGGCTGCTCACACCATCCGGGGGCTGCACTTGGGTGGCAGCCTGGTGACGCAGCCTGGGACCTGTCCGTCACAGAGGCCTGCTGCAGGCAGATGTGGGGCCCTTGGCTGAGGGCTGCACTCGCACTGCCCAAGCAGCTGACAGGTGCTGCTCGGCTGCGATGTTCCCATAGCCCATTCGAGTCAGATGGACAGCTGTGCTGGCCCATGGGCCACCGTCACCTGGCTGCTTCAGAGCTCCTACATCTACAGAGTGCAGCCTTGCTCCACACTGGTGGACAAGGCGTTCTGGAGACATCCTCTGGGGGCATCATGGACACCAGGGTTTCTGAAGCGCCTCTCTCTCCACTCACAGAGCCGGGAGAGAAGGTGCTGCGGTCTGGGCAGGGGCCCTCCTGGTGGGGCAGGGAGGCAAGGACTTGGGGGGCGCGCACAGCTGTCGGAAGAGGGCAGGGCCTTGGCCCTGGGCTCCCAACCCTTGGGTCGCTGCAGCCGTGTGCCTAAAGGTCCCCTGCTGTTTTCCTGTGAGCAGAGACCTCTGTCCTGTGTCCCGGGGCCCCTGAACCCTAGAGGAGAGCTGGTGAGCGAGAGGGAGTGGGCGAGTGGGGGAGGGGTGGGGACACGGTGGGGCCTGTAGGCTGTCCGTGGAGTCCGTCCCAAGGTGAGATGGCACTGCCTACCTCACAGGTGCCCCACCTCCCTCCACGTGCTTGTGTGCCTGGCTATCTGTCCCCACTGACAGGGCTGTGGCCCCCTGGCCACCACAGCGGTGGCGGACGGGCCCCCTGGGCGTTCAGGAGGGGATGCACGGTGCACTTGGGGCTGAGTGCCAGCCCTCGTCCACTCTGCAGGCCCACAAGCTCTGGCTCTGGGGCGCGCCGTGAGGGCCTCGGGCTATACGCTCCACTCCTGGCATGCTGGGTTGGTGGCAGCCCTGTCCACAGCCAGCCACGGAGGCTGAACTGGGTGTCTCGTGACTTGTTTTCACAAAGGGAGGTCTGTGGCTGGGCGGCCCGGTGGGCAGGGTGGGACACAGGCACGGACGTGGCTCCCAGGCGGGCCGGGCTAGCGTACCGATGGGCTTCTGTACTGCTTGGGAGCCAGGAGTTGAACAAACACCAGGCGTGTTGCTGCTGGAATGTTGCTGCAGTGATAACATCGCTCCAAGATGCTGGGAGTGCTGGCTGCCACCCAGGCCTCGTCTGATGCGGCTCCCGGACACCGCCCTGGCGTGGGTAGGGGAAACCTAAGCCTGTGCTACTTCCAGCTGCCGCCTGTGACCAGCGCCCGGGGTGCTGCTATCAGCCCGAGCCTCCAGGATGTTGGGGAGCCGGCTGGCAGGCAAGATAACAGGAGCCTGGCCCCTGCCATCCCCAGAAGCCAAGGCTTGGTCCTGCCCTGAGACCCTCTGCCTGTTCTAAAGCCAGAGAACCAGCTCAACTGAGTTTGCTTCGAAGGTGTCAGGGTGACACAGCTTACAGTAATGACTGTCCGGTGCTGGGTGGCAGTTAGGTCTTTATATCTGGGAATCTTACTTTTAAAATCTTGGGTGGAATATTTCTCAGAGAAAATAGGCAGTTACTTCCATTTCTGAATCCAAATACTTCTCAGTCCCCGGAGAGCCTGCGATGTCCCCTCCTCCCCTCCTGTCCCTCTGTCCTGTTCCACTCAGAAGAGAAGGCTCTGGTGCTGGCGGGGAGCGCTGGCTGGAAAGCCTGGGAGTGGGTACGATCCCTTCCTCCCCAGGAAGGGAAACCGAGGCATGCTGAGTGCTGGGAGGCGGTGCCCTCCTCTCCTGTAGCCCTGCCCTCCTCAGACCCCTCACTCCTGTGCAGGTGTCACCTCTGTGCCAGCAGCCATGTGACAAGCAGGGCTGAAGTGGCGGGGTCAGGCAGCCCTGGCACCCGGGTCGGGTCGGCTGCCTCCTGCATCAGCATGCCTGCTGCCCAGGCTCAGGTGGGACAGAGTTCACACACTGCACACTGCGTACACATAGGTGCATTCCCACATCACACTGCACATGGACATGCAGTGCAAATGCACACTTGGACACGTGCACACTCATACAGCGCCGTATGGACACAGACACCATGCCCTGCACATATGCACAGACACCCGGTCTTGTGGACCAGAAGCACTGCCATGCAGGGACCCCCACGGACAGTCGGGTGATGGGTGACCTTCAGGGCGCACGGGGCTGAGCAGGGCTCTCTGCGCCAGGCACCTGGGATTTCCAGCATGGCGTTAATTACCTCCTTTCTCCCCTGGGCTGGGAAGAGTCTAATTACCTGACTATGGTTGATTGGAGAATCCAGGCGTGGCCCAGGCCTCCCCCAGTTTCCCCAGAGGGATTGGAGACTTCCTCCTCCTGCCAAGGGCCTGGCTGGCGCTCACTGATACCAAAGACCCAGTGGCCCAGCGCCTGCCAAGTCCTGTCCCTGGCAGGGCAACCCTGGGCTCCACCCCATGCTCATGGCTGCCCCCTGGGACCCAGTCTGGGCAGCCCTGCATAAGCTCAGAGCGTGGTAGGGCTGCCCTCTGGAGAGGCCTGGGCCCTCAGCAGCCCGGGGCCACCTGCGTCACCCTCACGCCCAGTGTCACTGCAGGAGCTCAGCCCGTGCACAGGAAGAGGGAGCAGGGTGGGGCACAAGTGGAGGAGGGACGGGGGTTGCTCTGTCCCTTGCACCCTTTCCTTAGGGCCACCAGCGATGTCTGTGCACCCCTGTTGGTCAGGGTGGTTCTGCATGCTCCAAGGTCCACAGGAGGCCACCAAGCCAAGGAAGGAAGCCCCATCCCAGCAGCCACCTGCCCTGTGTCCTGGGAGGGGTCTCTAGTCCCTATCACATGGCCCTAGCCTTGACCCCAGGCAACTGGGTCAGGAGCCCCCAGGCCAGGCAGCCTGCCTGCTGTGCTGGCCCTGAACAGCCCTTGAGGGGCATCAGTGGCTAGGAGGGAGTGCCTGGTTCTGGGCCCTGTCCTGCTGCCTAGGAAGTGACAGATGCCTGTACACCATGGTCATGGCATGCTCGGCTCTGGGTCCTGGGCTCGTGTGGCTGGGTTTAGGCTGAAGGCAGAGCCATAGGGAGCCGAGCCAGACGGCAGGGGACAGAGCTCCAGAGCCTGCTCAGGGTGTCTGGCAGGGGCCTGGCCTGCATCAGTGAGCACGAGGGGTCCTGGCCTCTGAGTCACTGCTGGTCACTGAGACGGCCACAGGACAAGGTGGTTGACATGCAGAGCCTAGACGTGGGAAAGTGGTGCCCAAGGAAGGTTGCGTGTCCCGGGAAGTGTCCCCACCGCAGGGCAGGCTAGCTGTGATAGGGCCAGGTGGCCGAAGTCCCTGTCCTTTCCAGGAAAGCCTCCCACCTCCCTGCCTGTCCTTCGGGGCCTTAGCCTTGAGAAAGTTTGCTCAGGACGTCCCGAGTCCCCAGGAGCCACTGGCCAGGCCAAACAACCCCAAGATTCAGACTGAGCTCCGCCTGAGCGAACCAGAGCCATGGGGCGTGTGCATGTGCATGTGTGTGCACACACGGGCGTGTCTTCAGAACAAACCTGAATGCTCTCTGCTGGGCACGATGTAGGCATTTGCTCTTACTTGCAAACTCCACCAGGTTAGGAGCGAAATCCATTAGCTTGGTCATGCGGCATCCTTGCCAGAGGAAGTGCTGCCGTGCTGAGCTCCACCTCAGGCCTGTGGAGAACCTCCGTACGGCTGTTTGTTTCCTGCGTGCAAGCTTGGGACTCCCGGGTCCTGCAGCCTCGGACGGGTTCCGGGTGTGGGCCCCGTGCCTGTGGCTCCCGGCTTGGAGTTGTCTCCCTGCTCCTGCTCCAACTCACCGAGGGCCCCAGTCTGGGCTGAGAGGTGATGTCCCCCGGGTTGGGTGTCCCCACACTAGCGTCTCGGGAGGGGGATGACACGGGCTGCTCACCATCTCCCCTCAGGGGTCGGGTCTGGCAGGTTTCTTTGGCCTGGCATGTGTCCTGTCATCTTTTGCCCCCCCCCAGCTCCCCTGGGATCCTCAGGCCCTGCTCTCCTTCCCTGCCTGGACCACATTGGCCAGCAGGACCCCGGCACAGCCCAGCCCTTGGTGCCCCGAGGTTGGGCTGTTGTCCCAGGCTTGCCGTTCCAGCAGGACCCTGGTCCCTGTGCCATAGCCACCACCCTCTGGCCTCCCCCAGCCCGCAGCTGGACGGCCCCCCACAGCCTGCGCCTCAGGGGCCCGCTGGTGTGTCCTTGTGACTGTGTGACACGCCCTACCTGAGGCCACTCAGAGCTGGAGTCCACGTGGCTGCACTTCGGGGCTCTGGGGCTGTCCTTCGGGGCCAACTCCACACCAGCTGCGCTGTGCCTCCACCACAGACTCGGTCCCAGGGACGGCAGCTGGGTCACTTCCCTCGCCACAGGCCCTGGCTCTGTGGTACCTGCACATGCTTGGTCACATGGCAGCCACAGCGGCCCTCAAGGGGAGCAGGGCGCATGGTGAACTCAGGTGACTGATGCGTGGAGACGCATGTCTGTGCCAGCAGAGTGAGTG